AACAGCCTCCTCGTCTTCTCCTCCCTCTCCTTCTTCTCCTCCTCTGTCTCGAGCGCCTCCCCTGGCCTGATGGTGCGCCCACCCCCGTACTGAAAGGGCAGAACGGTTGGTGGGGAAGAGGGGTGGAGAACGGTGGAGATGGCATCAGCAATGGTGGGATCTCTATAACCTAACAGCCTTCTTGTCTTCTCCTCCCTCTCCCGCTTCTCCTCCTCTGTCTCGAGCGCCTCCCCTGGCCTGATGGTGCGCCCACCCCCCTACTGAAGGGGAAGATGGGAAGAAGGGGAGGAAGGTCGATGAAGGCGAGGGGTGGAGAACGGTGGAAATGGCATCTTCTCCTCCCTCTCCCGCTCCTCCTCTCCAGTGCTTGCTTCCCCAGGCCTAATGGTGCGCCCTCCGCCATACTGAAAGGGAGATGGGGAGAAAAAGGGAAGATGATGGGGAAGAGGGGTGGAGAGCGGTGGAGATGGCATCAGCCGTGGTAATACCGCCATCCCCCACCGTCTCCCTCCCTCTCACCGTTCTCGAGATGTCTCTAGGCCTCGGGAATACCCCCCACGTCGCAACCTTGGGCTTATACTCGCTTTCCGTTCCCCCCGCTCCCCCTTCCCCCTCCCCCTGCGCACCCCCCTGCTGCTGCTCCCCCGGGACCTCCCCCCTCTTTGTAATCACACGCGACCCGACGATCATCTCCACTTGCGGCAGACTCCCTCCTGACGTGGCCGGGTCGAATTCCACGTCAGCTTGCAGGCCAGCTGGCAGCGGCCCCTTCCCGCGCCCCTGCTGCTTCTCCCGCTCCTCCTGAAACCCTAATCCCAGAAAATCCGCGCCAGTAACCGACGGAGTCGACGCGCTGCGCGCGCGCGCCCCGGCTACCCCAGGATTGCCCATCATACCGCCACCTAATCCCCCGCCGCCGATCCCGCCGCCGATCCCGCCGCTGATTCCGCCGGGTTTGGCGCTCTTCCCGCCGGTGTACCCTCCCCACTCCATCTCGGACCGCTTAGTCCGGCGCTTAATCACTCCGTCCCGCGTTACTATCTCCACCTCGATAATATCCTTGTCGTCCTCCTCCTTCTCCTTTCCCTTCGCCTTCGCTTTCCTCTCCTCGTCCCCCTGTTGCTGCTGCTGCTGCGCTTTTTCCTTCTCTGCTTCGCGCGCCGCGAGTGCCGCCGCCATCTCCGCCACCTGATCCGCGTACGATCGCACGCCGCTGCTGCTGCTGCTGCTGGTAGGGTTACCACTGGTAACAGTGCTGCTGGTAGCATTACTACTGGTAACGGTGCTGCCGGTAGTGTTACCACTGGTGCCACTGCTGGTAACAGCAGGAGCAGCACCGAGAGTACCGGTAGCAGCGGCGCCGCCATAGCTGCTGCTTGAGGCGTTACTACCGTCGGAAGCGTTAGCATTACTGTCAGCAGGTGTTGCTGTCGCGATTGCGGTCGCTCCTGACTGCTGCTGTTGTCTCTTCGCCTTATACGCGAGTGCGCGTTCCAGTGCCGATTGCGCTGCGTTGCCGCTGCTACTGCCGGCATCCCCGCCGTTTCCTACGCCGGATTTATCGGCAGCCGCTCCGCTTTTTGCCCCCGCAGCATCCCTAATGGCCTTTAAGGTCCTTTCACCAGGTGTCTGGGCGTCCCCAGATTGCGATGCGCGTGTCAGGAAACGCCTGCTATAACGAGGCAGCTTCGACACAGCCGCATTGTCCATGCGCGCATTCCTGCTGCACAAGCGCGGGTGGTTGGACGAACCCCATGAAGGTGTTACCGAATAACGGACAGACGCAGGTTGGCGATAACGATTTTGACCTGACGACGTTTGGCGAAACACATCTGAGAGAAAGGAGTAGGTGGCGCAGTGGGGATGCTGTGCTTGTACGACGAGCATCTTCCACAACCCAATCAGCGTTACCGAGGAGTTCCACGTGGACAACTAATAGTTTGATCACTGGCCTTTTGATTGGTCGTGACCACTTGTGAAACACGCGGAAATTCGGTAACTTCTAATCGAAATTCCAACACCTGTCGTGCAATTGGCAGCAGGAAAAAGTTGCATTCACGAGAAAGCTAGTCTGTGTCTGTGGCACTTCAAAATGATTTCGACAGACTAACTTGCTCGCGAAACGCGGCAGCCTTCTACGATTCACGCACCCAGCTGGTTTCTAGAGTCCAGGACAAGTCAATGTCAATAGCTCGTAGAAATCTGGTCCGCGACACGTCCACTATTGGGCTGGGTCATGCTGAGAGCGGTAACCGAAATGACGTGGCGCTACTTTGTGAATTTGAGTCGCGATATGATTGGAGCGCGTTGAGAGCTACCACGCTGGAGGCTGGTATTGGCTCCGGCAGAAGTGGAGATCGATCACAAGCAACCAAGAGCAGATCGCAACAGCAGCACCGCCACAAACAGATTTATTTTAAATATGTTTTGCGAAAGAAAAAGCATGGTGCATATATGATGAAGGAACCTTATTTTTTTTAAGAAAACAACATCCAATATTTTTCTCTTTAGGCACGAAAAATTTTATATGCATTTTTTTTATGGAACAGATATGCTGCATTTATAACGAAGGAACCCTCAATAAATGACAATTCTAACTAATGCCCTTGCAACTAACTATGTTTTGTATCACAACAGGCGCTGTGTGCATGTGTATGATTCGTTGCCAATATAATTCTTATGAAGACTCTTCAAGAGGAAATTGCACCAGCACCTTCTCACCATTTCTCAATAACTGAAGCGACACAGTTTGACCTGCTGACAGGTCATCCAAGGCCTTGTCCACATCAGCAGCCATTTTCACCTGTACATGCATCAAAGGTTTTATTTGACAGGGGTTCAATATGGAGAGAGACGGGGTGAGTGACAGTCAATGAAGCAAACCAACCAGAAGCCAACAAATAAATCAACCAACGCAGTACAGCCAAAGACAATAAAGTTGTAGATCACGTAAATTATATTATATTGATCAATGGATTCAATCATAACGGTACAAAGAACTTACAGTGTACTGATCAATCGCTACAATCACATCTCCCAGCACAATGTTGCCTGCAAAGCCCCTCCTGGTTGCCGTCACCCCTGCCTTGGCCGCTGCTGATCCAGACTTCACCTGAGGAAAAGGAGGGGCGGGAGAGGGGAAGCGAGGAAGAGTCCGGACACGCCCGAAAGGGTATGAAAATGGGGTGAGCAAGAGATGGGGATGGTGTCATGGTGTGTCCACCATAGACCATGCAGAAACATGCTCCACGCTCCACACACACTTAGCACCACACACTTGCACCACAGACTTTCATCACACACTTGCACCACACACTTTCATCACACACTGCACCACACACTTGCACCACACACTTTCATCACACACTTTCATCACACACTTTCATCACACACTTTCATCACACACTTTCATCACACACTTTCATCACACACTTTCATCACACACTTTCATCACACACTTTCATCACACACTTTCATCACACACTTTCATCACACACTTTCATCACACACTTTCATCGCACAGTTTCATCACCAGAGACTCATCACCACTCACTCCACACTGACACTCACCCCGAGCACCAGCGCCCCTGCTGCCACACCCAGCTGCCTGGCAATGCCATCAGCAGCCAGCTGTAGGTTGAGAGTGGGGCGAATGACCTAATGGGCATTGGAACGGGGTTGGAGATGGTTATGGGAATAAGGATGAAACAGAGAGGGCAACAACGCGAGCTGCTCTCCCACGCCCAGCCGCCTAGCAATGCCATCAGCAGCCAGCTGAACGTTCAGCGTGGGGCGAATGACCTGATGGGCAGGCATGGGTGTGGAAGAGTGGGAGAGGTATAGGGATTGTCGGGAGCGCAAAAGCACAGGGACAGGGATGGTGGGAACACACAACGGGCTCACGCCCAGCTGCCTGGCAATGCCATCAGCAGCCAGCTGTACGTTCAGCGTGGGGCGAATGACCTGATGGGCATGGGAATGGGATGGGGATGGGAGTGGGAGTGGGTGGGAGGATGAGAGGGCCTCAGGGCCACTACGCGACCTCAGGGCCACTACGCGAGCTTCTCGCTCATGCCCAGCTGCCTCCCTGGCAATGCCGTCTGCAGCCAGCTGCTCGCTCAACCCGGGGCGAATCACCTGACGTTGCAGGGAGTTTTCAAAACCTGACGTTGAGAATTCTCGAAAACTCCCTGCACGCTCAGCTGCCTGCCTGGCAATGCCGTCTGCAGCCAGCTGCTCGCCTCGCTCAACCAGGGGCGAATCACCTGATGGGAATGCATGGGGATGGGCATGGGGATGGGAATGCGGAGCACATGTGAGTGAAGCAGCTCTATCCAACCCGGCCCAATAGACCTTGCTGCCCTCCCACAACCAGCTGCCGGGCAATGCCATGGACAGCCTTTTGAGGCGCCTCAAAAGCTGCCCGACAATGCCATTGACAGCCAGCGGCACGCTTAGAGTGGGGTGAATGACCTGATGGGTTTGGGAATGGGAATGGGAATGGGATGGGGATGGGGATGGGGAGGAGGATGTGACAAGGAGGATCACATGGGGGAGGAAGAATAGGCATGGTGTGAGTGTGAGTGTGAGTTGAGTTTGAGTGTGGCAGTGTGGGAGTGTGGGAGTGAGAAGTAAGCACAGAGGTTCACACGGGGGAAGAGGAACAGACATATTAGTTAGGCGTTTGGTGCATAAATATCAGAAGTTCTCAAATGGTTTTCGATAGATGTGGCTATTCTCATATTCCGATGCGTCGTCTTATGAGTAAAATTGCGGCGCAATCTTTTCAGAATCATGCCCCCCACTGGAAAACGATTTCAGCTGGATGGATAGACAAAATTGAAATGACAACCACAGACTTAAAAACGCCACACATTTGAGAATTCTCAAAAGTGATTTTCAAATAACAACCACAGAATTGAACTTTCCACACGCTCTCCCGTAAGTCCTTCCTTTACGCCACTCACTCACCTTGCCATACTGGATGATCTGGGGAACCACGCGCGCCACCACTGATACAGGAATCGCAAAGCCCACCCCGGCAGATGTGCCGGTGTTGGTGTAAATGGCGGTGTTGATTCCGATGAGCCTTCCAGCCGAGTCAAGCAGAGGGCCGCCACTGTTGGGAGGAAGAGAGGAAGGAGAAGGGGGTTGGGGAAGAAAGAGGGGGTGGGGGGGAGATGCTAGGGTGACTAACAATATATGGACGGCCGTCTGCTGCTGAAGCCCACCCCGGCAGATGTGCCGGTGTTGGTGTAAATGGCGGTGTTGATTCCGATGAGCCTTCCAGCCGAGTCAAGCAGAGGGCCGCCACTGTTGGGAGGGAGAGAGGAAGGAGAGGGTGGAGAAAAAGGGAGGGGAGGGGCGACGAGTTGAGGATATGGGCAGCGTTACTGCATCCCTACACCTGTGTTGGTATAGATGGCGCCTTTTGAGGTGGCTTTTGAGAATTCTCAAAAACAAGGAGCAGGGGAATGGTGGAAGAAGGAGGAGAGGAGGGGAGGAGGGGAGAGGAGAGGAGGGGAGAGGAGAGGAGGGGAGAGGAGAGGAGAGGAGGGAAGGGGTGAGAGGGAAGCAAAAAATGGGAGGGGAGGGGAGATTTATGATCCCTACAGAGCGTGCTCTTTGAGAATTCTCAAAAAACACGCTCTGCTACACACTCATGTACCATAGGAAACACAGACTCACAGTCACACACGCACACTCACTCACGCACACTCACACACGCACACTCACACACGCACACTCACACATGCAATCACACATGCAATCACACACTCACAGTCACACACGCATACCCACACACTCACATACTCACACACGCACACCCACATAGGCACACTCACACATGCACACTCACACACACGCTCTCTCTCTCACACACACACATACACTCACAAACGCACACTACTAAACCAAGTAGCACATTCGCCTGTTGCTCAGCACTCCCGCTGTCAGCGTGTGGTCGAACCTAAACAGGTTGCCCATGGGGTAGTAGTGGGAGTGATGGGACACCCACACACGCACACTCACACACACGCACACTCACACACACGCACGCTCACACACACGCACGCTCACACACACGCACGCTCACACACACGCACGCTCACACACACGCACGCTCACACACACGCACGCTCACACACACGCACGCTCACACACACGCACGCTCACACACACGCACGCTCACACACACGCACGCTCACACACACGCACGCTCACACACACGCACGCTCACACACACGCACGCTCACACACACGCACGCTCACACACACGCACGCTCACACACACGCACGCTCACACACACGCACGCTCACACACACGCACGCTCACACACACGCACGCTCACACACACGCACGCTCACACACACGCACACTCACACACACGCACACTCACACACACGCACACTCACACACACGCACGCTCACACACACGCACACTCACACACACGCACGCTCACACACACGCACGCTCACACACACGCACGCTCACACACACGCACGCTCACACACACGCACGCTCACACACACGCACGCTCACACACACGCACACTCACACACACGCACGCTCACACACACGCACGCTCACACACACGCACGCTCACACACACGCACGCTCACACACACGCACGCTCACACACACGCACGCTCACACACACGCACGCTCACACACACGCACGCTCACACACACGCACGCTCACACACACGCACGCTCACACACACGCACGCTCACACACACGCACGCTCACTCACACGCACACTCACACACACGCACACTCACACACACGCACACTCACACACACGCACGCTCACACACACGCACACTCACACACACGCACGCTCACACACACGCACGCTCACACACACGCACGCTCACACACACGCACGCTCACACACACGCACGCTCACACACACGCACGCTCACACACATGCACGCTCACACACACGCACGCTCACACACATGCACGCTCACACACACGCACGCTCACACACACACACGCACGCTCACACACACACACGCACGCTCACACACACACACGCACGCTCACACACACACACGCACGCTCACACACACACACGCACGCTCACACACACACACGCACGCTCACACACACACACGCACGCTCACACACACACACGCACGCTCACACACACACACGCACGCTCACACACACACACGCACGCTCACACACACACACGCACGCTCACACACACACACGCACGCTCACACACACACACGCACGCTCACACACACACACGCACGCTCACACACACACACGCACGCTCACACACACACACGCACGCTCACACACACACACGCACGCTCACACACACACACGCACGCTCACACACACACACGCACGCTCACACACACACACGCACGCTCACACACACACACGCACGCTCACACACACACACGCACGCTCACACACACACACGCACGCTCACACACACACACGCACGCTCACACACACACACGCACGCTCACACACACACACGCACGCTCACACACACACACGCACGCTCACACACACACACGCACGCTCACACACACACACGCACGCTCACACACACACACGCACGCTCACACACACACACGCACGCTCACACACACACACGCACGCTCACACACACACACGCACGCTCACACACACACACGCACGCTCACACACACACACGCACGCTCACACACACACACGCACGCTCACACACACACACGCACGCTCACACACACACACGCACGCTCACACACACACACGCACGCTCACACACACACACGCACGCTCACACACACACACGCACGCTCACACACACACACGCACGCTCACACACACACACGCACGCTCACACACACACACGCACGCTCACACACACACACGCACGCTCACACACACACACGCACGCTCACACACACACACGCACGCTCACACACACACACGCACGCTCACACACACACACGCACGCTCACACACACGCACGCTCACACACACGCACGCTCACACACACACACGCACGCTCACACACACACACGCACGCTCACACACACACACGCACGCTCACACACACACACGCACGCTCACACACACACACGCACGCTCACACACACGCACGCTCACACACACGCACGCTCACACACACACACGCACGCTCACACACACACACGCACGCTCACACACACACACGCACGCTCACACACACGCACGCTCACACACACGCACGCTCACACACACGCACGCTCACACACACGCACGCTCACACACACGCACGCTCACACACACGCACGCTCACACACACGCACGCTCACACACACGCACGCTCACACACACGCACGCTCACACACACGCACGCTCACACACACGCACGCTCACACACACGCACGCTCACACACACGCACGCTCACACACACGCACGCTCACACACACGCACGCTCACACACACGCACGCTCACACACACGCACGCTCACACACACGCACACTCACACACACGCACACTCACACACACGCACACTCACACACACGCACGCTCACACACACGCACACTCACACACACGCACGCTCACACACACGCACGCTCACACACACGCACGCTCACACACACGCACGCTCACACACACGCACGCTCACACACACGCACGCTCACACACATGCACGCTCACACACACGCACGCTCACACACATGCACGCTCACACACACGCACGCTCACACACACGCACGCTCACACACACACACGCACGCTCACACACACACACGCACGCTCACACACACACACGCACGCTCACACACACACACGCACGCTCACACACACACACGCACGCTCACACACACACACGCACGCTCACACACACACACGCACGCTCACACACACACACGCACGCTCACACACACACACGCACGCTCACACACACACACGCACGCTCACACACACACACGCACGCTCACACACACACACGCACGCTCACACACACACACGCACGCTCACACACACACACGCACGCTCACACACACACACGCACGCTCACACACACACACGCACGCTCACACACACACACGCACGCTCACACACACACACGCACGCTCACACACACACACGCACGCTCACACACACACACGCACGCTCACACACACACACGCACGCTCACACACACACACGCACGCTCACACACACACGCACGCTCACACACACACACGCACGCTCACACACACACACGCACGCTCACACACACACACGCACGCTCACACACACACGCACGCTCACACACACACGCACGCTCACACACACACGCACGCTCACACACACGCACGCTCACACACACGCACGCTCACACACACGCACGCTCACACACACGCACGCTCACACACGCACGCTCACACACACGCACGCTCACACACACGCACGCTCACACACACGCACGCTCACACACACGCACGCTCACACACACGCACGCTCACACACACGCACGCTCACACACACGCACGCTCACACACACGCACGCTCACACACACGCACGCTCACACACACGCACGCTCACACACACGCACGCTCACACACACGCACGCTCACACACACGCACGCTCACACACACGCACGCTCACACACACGCACGCTCACACACACGCACGCTCACACACACGCACGCTCACACACACGCACGCTCACACACACGCACGCTCACACACACGCACGCTCACACACACGCACGCTCACACACACGCACGCTCACACACACGCACGCTCACACACACGCACGCTCACACACACGCACGCTCACACACACGCACGCTCACACACACGCACGCTCACACACACGCACGCTCACACACACGCACGCTCACACACACGCACGCTCACACACACGCACGCTCACACACACGCACGCTCACACACACGCACGCTCACACACACGCACGCTCACACACACGCACGCTCACACACACGCACGCTCACACACACGCACGCTCACACACACGCACGCTCACACACACGCACGCTCACACACACGCACGCTCACACACACGCACGCTCACACACACGCACGCTCACACACACGCACGCTCACACACACGCACACTCACACACACGCACACTCACACACACGCACACTCACACACATGCACGCTCACACACACGCACACTCACACACACGCACACTCACACACACGCACACTCACACACACGCACGCTCACACACACGCACACTCACACACACGCACACTCACACACACGCACACTCACACACACGCACGCTCACACACACGCACACTCACACACACGCACACTCACACACACGCACACTCACACACATGCACGCTCACACACACGCACGCTCACACACACGCACGCTCACACACATGCACGCTCACACACACGCACGCTCACACACACGCACGCTCACACACACACACGCACGCTCACACACACACACGCACGCTCACACACACACACGCACGCTCACACACACACACGCACGCTCACACACACACACGCACGCTCACACACACGCACGCTCACACACACGCACGCTCACACACACACACGCACGCTCACACACACACACGCACGCTCACACACACACACGCACGCTCACACACACGCACGCTCACACACACGCACGCTCACACACACGCACGCTCACACACACGCACGCTCACACACACGCACGCTCACACACACGCACGCTCACACACACGCACGCTCACACACACGCACGCTCACACACACGCACGCTCACACACACGCACGCTCACACACACGCACGCTCACACACACGCACGCTCACACACACGCACGCTCACACACACGCACGCTCACACACACGCACGCTCACACACACGCACGCTCACACACACGCACGCTCACACACACGCACGCTCACACACACGCACGCTCACACACACGCACGCTCACACACACGCACGCTCACACACACGCACGCTCACACACACGCACGCTCACACACACGCACGCTCACACACACGCACGCTCACACACACGCACGCTCACACACACGCACGCTCACACACACGCACGCTCACACACACGCACGCTCACACACACGCACGCTCACACACACGCACGCTCACACACACGCACGCTCACACACACGCACGCTCACACACACGCACGCTCACACACACGCACGCTCACACACACGCACGCTCACACACACGCACGCTCACACACACGCACGCTCACACACACGCACGCTCACACACACGCACACTCACACACACGCACACTCACACACACGCACACTCACACACATGCACGCTCACACACACGCACACTCACACACACGCACACTCACACACACGCACACTCACACACACGCACGCTCACACACACGCACACTCACACACACGCACACTCACACACACGCACACTCACACACACGCACGCTCACACACACGCACACTCACACACACGCACACTCACACACACGCACACTCACACACATGCACGCTCACACACACGCACGCTCACACACACGCACGCTCACACACATGCACGCTCACACACACGCACGCTCACACACACGCACGCTCACACACATGCACACTCACACACATGCACACTCACACACACGCACGCTCACACACACGCACACTCACACACATGCACACTCACACACATGCACACTCACACACACGCACATTCACACACACGCACATTCACACACACGCACATTCACACACACGCACATTCACACTCTCACACACATCCACTCTCTCTCTCACACACACACACACACTCACACACACAATCATACCAGCCCACACTCGCCTGTTGCCGGGGTTGATGGCAGCGTCTGTCTGCACGCCCCCTGCAATGACCACGCCTGCTGCGCTGTAGATATCGCGATTCACCCCGCTCAGCACCCCTGCTGTCAGCGTGTGGTCGAACCCAAAGGGGTTGCCGATGGCGTAGGATCGCTGCCCCACCCGCAGTGAGGAGGAATCGCCGAGAGGGAGCGGGCGGAGGAGGTTGGGAGGGGCAGAGACCTGGGGTGAGGATGAGTGGGGGAATGGGGGATGGGGGAATGGGAGGGAGATGAGGGGGGAAGGAGCGTGTGGTTGAAGCCAAAGGGGTTGCCAATGGCATAGGATCGCTGCCCCACACGCAGGGAGGAGGAATCGCCGAGAGGGAGCGGGCGTAGGAGGTTGGGAGGAGCAGAGACCTGGTGGGAGGAAGCGGAAAAGAATGATGGAGTGGTGGAAGGAAGATAGGGGGTTGGGGGAATGATACTGGGAAGCCGGAAAGATGAGTGTGTGATCGAAGCCAAAGGGGTTGCCGATGGCATAGGAGCGTTGCACCACTCGCAGGGAGGAGGAATTGCCGAGGGGGAGCAGGCGGAGGAGGTTGGGAGGGGCAGAGATCTGGTGGGAGGAAGAAGGGGAGTGGAAAGCAGGCGAATGAGGAAACGGGAGGGGTAAGTGGGGAAGAAGAGCGTGTGGTCGAACGCAAGGGGTCGCCGATGGCATAAGAGGAATCACTGAAGGGGAGTGGGAGGAGGAGGAGGTTGGGAGGGGCGGAGACCTGGTGGGGTTGGAAGTGGGGAAGAATGGGGGAATAGGGGGAAGGAAAGCGTGGGGATGGAGGGGTAAGTGGGGAAGAAGAGCGTGTGGTCGAAGCCATACTCAAGTGGGGCAACGCTTGTACGCCATCGCTAAAGGGGTTGCTGATGGCGCACGTACGAGTGTTGCCCCACTTACAGTGAGGAAAAGTCGCCGAGTGGGAGCGGGCGGATCAGGCTTTCTAAAATATTATCTCACCTTGAGAGCTGCAAGGTCCTTGGTCCAGCCAGCCCCCATCAGCCCTCCCTCCAAATTGCGCTGATTACCGGCTGACTGTTTCCAACATATCTGGTCCCAGGACCCAGTAAGTACCTGGGCTTCGACCTAGACATATAGCTGTCTCGCCTTGAGCACTCCTTGGTCCAGCCAGCCCCCACCAGCACTCCTGTCTAAGCTACCCAGAATACGTCAGTCAGCTTATGACCTCTTAGGCAACTGCCTGCCTCACCTTGAGCACTGCAAGGTCCTTGGTCCGATCCGCCCCCACCAGCACTCCCTCCAGATTGCGTTGAAAGCTGGTGGGATGAAGAGAAAGAAGGGTGAGGAAGGGAGGAGTGAGGAGAGGGATACGAGCATGCAGTTTTGAGGTGAGTAATAACTTAAACTGCTATCGACCCCCACTAGCACTCCAGTTTTGAGGCGCCTCAAAACCAGTTTTGAGGCGAGTAAAAACATAGCCGACTTTTGAGTCGACTCAGAAGTCACCTCAACACCAGTTTTGAGGCGAGTAACAACGTAGACTGTTATCGACCCGACCCCCACTAGCACTCCTGCTAGATTGCGCTGAAAGCTGGTGGTGAGGGGAGAGAAGGATGAGGAACTCGAGTGATGGCGATGAACTGCACTGCACCACACCGCACTGCACTCAACACATCAGTCCAACCCTAAGAGAAACTCCACCGTCTTACCACTTCACTCTACCGCACCTCACTCACAGTCACTGCACTCAACCCACCCGTCTGTCCCGACCAGAGCGACTCTGGCGATAGTCCTTCAAGCAGGGGGGTTTTGCAAGAGTGCACTCCCGACCACGTGGTAGTTTGTAACAATGTAACCCTTGAATAACTTCACTGCACCGCACCGCACCGCACTCAACTCACCCGTCTGTCCCGAGCAGAGTGACTCTGGCGATAGTCCTTCCAGCAGGGGGGTTTTGCGAGAGTGCACTCCCGACCACGTGGTAATTGGTAACAATATACCCGTCGCTGTTCCACACCACGCCCGACCCGTTCCCCTCCGGCACCTCCACCTGCCCCGTGGTGTTCATGCTTGGTCGCAGAGTCACATCAAATATATTCACCACTGAGTAGGTGGTGCGCTCGAACAGAGCCACCGTTGCTTCCTGAGAGAGGGAAAGAGGAGGGAGCAGAGAGGGAGGTCAAGAATTGCAGGCACCCCCCCCCCCATCAGCACCCATTGCGTTCCCCTCCAGCCTCTTCAGGCGCCTCCACTCGACGTGCACCCTACGGCACCTCCACCGGCCCTGTGGTGTTCATGCAGGGGCGGAGAGTCACGTCGAATATATTCACCACTGAATAGGCTGTTCGTTCGAACAGTGCCACTGTTGCTTCCTGTGGTGGTGGGGAGGGAGGGGAAGTAGGGGGATGGGGAGCAGAAGCAGGGGTGGGAAGTCACCAGCACGGCACCTCCACCTGCCCCGTGGTGTTCATGCTGGGGCGGAGAGTCACGTCGAATATATTCACCACTGAATAAGTAGTGCGCTCGAACAGAGCCACCGTTGCTTCCTGAGAGAGGGAAGGAGGAGGAGGGAGCAGAGAGGGAGGTCAAGAATTGCAGAGTGGTCGAATATATTTACCACTGAATAAGTAGTGCCTTCGAACAGAGCCACTGTTGCCTCCTGTGGTCGAAGAAAAGAGGGGAGAGGGGAGAGGGGGAGGCCAGAAGTTTACAAGGAAAGCAACCCCATAACCACTCATCCGACCCGTTCCCCTCGGGCACCTCCACCTGCCCCGTGCTGTTCATGCTGGGTCGCAGAGTCACATCGAATATGTTCACCACTGAGTAGGTGGTTCGTTCGAACAGAGCCACTAATGCTTCTAGAGGCGTGGGGGGGGGGGGGGGCAGAAGGGGAAGGCGGAGGGAGCAGAGAGGGAGGGAGGTCAGCACACCCCCATCAGCACTCGCTGCGTTCCCCTCTGCCCCTCTGGCGCAGAGTCACATCGAATATGTTCACCACTGAGTAGGTGGTTCGTTCGAATAGTGCCACCGTTGCCTCCTGTGCCACTGAGTAGGGGTTCGGGGGAAGGGGAGTAGGGGATAAGGTGGGAGGGGAGTAGGGGATAAGGTGGGAGGGGAGTAGGGGATAAGGTGGGAGGGGAGTAGGGGATAAGGTGGGAGGGGAGTAGGGGATAAGGTGGGAGGGGGGCCACAGAGTGGCGTCAAATATGTTTGCCTCCTGTGCCACTGAGTAGGTGGGAGGTGCGCTCACCCAGAGCCACCGTTGCTTCCTGTGGCGGTGGGGGAGGAGGTGGGGGGAGGTTGGAGGGAGTAGAGGGGAATGCGGAAGGGGAAAACATGGGAAGAGGGAACATAGAGTGACACTCGCATCACATGCAATCGCCTCTCATTTTTACCCTCACTTGTACTCTCCTTCCCTCTCTCACTCCTACAATCCCTTCTGCCCTCCTCTTCGCTCTCCCACTCTCACTCACTCACTCCTACTCTCCTACTCTCACTCCTCCCCTCACTATCACTCACTCCCACTCCCCTCACCTCAGCAGCAGGCAGCTTGCCAGCTGGCGTGACGTCACGGGTGACGTCAGCAATGGTGACTGAAGGATCTCCGAGGGCAGGCACTGGCGAGCAGGAGAGGTGGAGGGTGAGAGGTGGTGGGTGGGAGGTGGAGGGTGACGGCGGGAGGGAGGATACGGCAACATGAATTGGGATTAAATTGAAGGGGGCCGCAGGAGGGGGGAGGAGGGGGAAGGGGGGGGGGGGGAGAGAGGGGAGGGAAGGGTGGAGGTGCAGGAGGGAAGTTGAGAAGGAGACGAGCTATTGGAAGGATATGGCGGCATTTGTAACAGCCCAAAAATATGGGGGCAGAGAGGCAGGTCTCACGTGCGGGAACAGAAGGGGGGAGGGGGGGAGAATGTTCTCACCCGCGAGAGCAGGGGGCGCAAGCAGGGCGATGGAGAGGGGGAGGGAGGACGAGAGGAGCGCTCGTCTGCGGATGGGGGAGGGGAAAGGGATAAGGGGATGGTGCGGGGAGAAGCGGAAATGGATAAGCGCCTCGGAAGAGTAAACTCTCGGGGAACGTGCACGCGTTTGTCTCAAAACTCTGCCTGATTTTTCTCCGCCTGATTTCCCTCCGCCCCGCCACAAATTTCAGGCGCAGCTCCCCGCTCTCCGCCGGCCCCACCTCGTCACGCCGAGTCCCCCTTGCTCCGCCAAGTCCGCGCAATTCCCGCGCGCCTCACTCTCCGCGCGGCGGGAATCCGCCCGCACTCCGCGAACTGTTGGCGGATTGCGCACATGCCGTTCCGCCCCGCCTGCGCCCGCGGGTCGTCGCAGTAGCGGCCGCGCGTCTGGGCGCAGCCATGGGGAAGCAAGCGCGGCGCAGGGCGGATGGCGGAGCGCTGCCATTGGCGGAAGCGGAAGTGAAGAATCGCGGAAGGTCTGCTAGGGGAGACGGAGAACCTTCTGCGCGAATTTTTCACGGGGTAAGTGATGGAGGGATGTGTGTTCAATAGCCAGGACTGAGGTGAGGGGTGTTCATGAAAGTGCGCTTAATGCGGCGCAGTGAGCTGCTTTACGTTCTAGAACGGTCAAACAAGTTTCAAGAACGGCTGGGTAGGATATGTTTGGAAACCAGCGTTGGGCTAGTATGCAACCATATTGATGTTGACGGAAATCGCAGCTGGAGGGTGTGCTTCGTTAGTACTGTACTCGAATGATCGTTTCGCACTCAGATGGTTCAGTCTGCGAACTTCACTTAGGCACAATGCAGATACCCTGAAAGTCTTACACTGGTGAATGGAATTACGAAATAAATATTTGTGAAAGGTTACAAGGCTCTGCACATGATGGCTTTCTCTCAATTTGGAAACACTTTGGATCACCTTCTACCCTGTTAGTGAGGTCTGTATGCTGTGATAACATGAAAAGCATCTTTGTACAATAAATACAATGATGCAATCCACTATCTAACTTTTGCCTATCCCCCAATGGTGGAACTCACAATGTTTGCCCATCAAAACTTTGGCGTTTTAATAACCTCCTCCCATATATTTGCAAACAATGCAGTCGATAAATACCTTTCACCAAAACTGGGCAAAATGGCCTGCAGCAGCACATGACAACAAGAAGCTTCGTTATACTCAGGTGACTCAAGAGAAGGAGCTGAATGTGACAGTAACAGTGAAGTACTGAGAACGGTGTGGAGGTTGGGGTGTGCACGAGAGACTGGGAGGGTGGGGGGAGGCAAAGAGGGGAGAGAAGGGGAAAGTGAAAGAGGGGGGGTGTCAGGTTAGGGGAGAGACATACCACCACCATTTTCCCAGCATATTCGGGCCGCTTTGCAACTTCAATCGCAGCAACCACCGCCGCACCAGACGATGGGCCCACCTGAGATCCCAAGGCATTGCAATCAAAACGAGACACAAGCAGAGAAACACACAAAACACACATTGGTCGCAGCAACCACCGCCGCACCAGACGATATGCCCACCTGAAATGGATATAATTTCAACCAAAAAAAAGATGGACACAGGAAGAGGTCTGAAAGTAGAAAGGCGTGAGGATGGAAGCACCTGAGATGAGATCACATTCCCACACCACTGGCGAATCTCAGGATACCAAACGACGCTCGCATACTGGAAGGCTTTGGCATTCTGCCTACGAATTCCAGAAGAACACGCCAGTGTGGTGTTCACTGGCGTGCTTTGACGTGCGTGCATGCTTTCCATTCCCGCTGAGATGCAGTGCAGCAACAAGTGGCAGCACAACGGGCGTGTGAAACAGCGCACAAGTCGAGGCTCAACTCACCAGCATGCCCTCCTTGAGTGCCAGCTGGCGCGCCATCTGGATGGAGTCGTCGCTGCTGACCTGGCAGGGGTGGGGATGGAGGGAGAGAAGTCACGGTGGGCCTTTTTTACGACATGGGCATGAAATTGGCACATCATTGCTCACTGTTTTGAATGTGATGACCACAGGAGGCACTGTGATGCCACCCGCACCCACGGGGATGACATCAGCCCAGATCAAGCTGACCTCAGCACACCGCAAACATCGGCCGTCACTGTGGTGACATCGACCTTATCGAGCATGCTCTAGTCCATAATGGTGGTGCAGTGTGGTGTGTGACATCAGCACCCACCGGGATGACATCAGCGGCACCCATCACCATGCTGACATCAGCATTCACTCACCGCAATGATCTCATCCAGCATGCTCTCATCGAGAATGGTGGTGGTGTGGTGCGGTGCAGTGTGGTGTGGTGTGGTGTGGTGCGGTGAGGTGTGGTGACATCAGCACTCACCGCGATGACCTCATCCAGCATGCTCTCATCCAGAATGCTTGGAATGAAGCCCGCTCCGATGCCCTGGATCATGTGCGGTCCTGCGTGGTGGAATGCGGTAAAGTGTGGTGATTAAGGGATAGGGAGGCATGGTTCGAAGACCTCATCACTCGCTCAGATCAGATGCCCTGGATCATGTGCGGTCCTGTGTGGTGTGGTGTGGTGTGATGTGGTGTAGTGGGGCATGGTGTGGGGGGCATGGTTTGATGACCTCAGCACGCACACTGCGCTACCCTGGATTGTGTGCGGCCCTGTTTGGTGTGGTGCGGTGGGGCATGGTGAGGCATAATGTGGTGTCATACGGTGTGACGTGATACGGTGTGGCGTGATATGGTGTGGCGTGATACGGTGTGGCGTGATATGGTGTGGCGTGATACGGTGTGGCGTGATACGGTGTGGCGTGATACGGTGTGGCGTGATACGGTGTGGCGTGATACGGTGTGGCGTGATACGGTGTGGCGTGATACGGTGTGGCGTGATACGGTGTGGCGTGATACGGTGTGGCGTGATACGGTGTGGCGTGATACGGTGTGGCGTGATACGGTGTGGCGTGATACGGTGTGGCGTGATACGGTGTGGCGTGGTATGGTGCGCTGTATGGCCATGAGTTCGTGGCTTCAGACAAATCGAAGCACCACAATCCACCGCCCATCATTGAACACTAATTATCCACCTTTTTTACAAGAATCTGCTCACCACATTACACAAGGTGGGTAAGGTGGATGACATTACACAAGGTGGATCACATTACGTTACCACATCACACTACACACCCACCAGATATATAATAATGGAAGAATACAACTGGACCTCCACCATCCACTCACACCATCTCTGCCATTGAACTCACCTGGGTATCCACCTGACAGAGTTCTCACCTGGGTATCCACCTGACAGGATATTTGACTCCTCAGGCTCCACTGCAATCATCTGCCATGCATGCGAAACAGGGATGACGGGGAAAACTACACTGCTGATGGCTCTTGTGTATGGCGGTGTATGCTAGTGTGGACGTACTGTGATGCCTTTGTACAGATAAGAGCTCATTTCTTCTTATACCAATGAATTTCAAGACAGACTGATCATTTTGACGCCTGGCTTCTTGCACGATTCCTTCCTGGCCTTCTTGGCCAAAAAGACTCCTTCCTGGCCTTGAAAAATAGATTCACTGCCCATGTAGGGTGTTTTTGGCCTTGAGAATTCTCAAAAACACCCTTGCACGAATCCTTCCTGGCCTTGAGAATTCTCAAAAACACCCTTGCACGAATCCTTCCTGGCCTTGAGGAACAGATTCACTGCCCATGGAAGGAACAGCAATTGTTTTACGCCCATGGCTGTGCTACCACTGCCACTACCGCACACCACCACACCACACGCCTGCCCAGTGCCCACACCCTCAAACCCCCTCTGCTGCTGCCAGCACAACACCTCCCCTCATCTTCACGCTCGTCCCTTTGCCCTTGAGGAACACATTCACGCCCATGGCTGTACTGCCACTGCCACTACCGCACACCACCACACCACACTCCTGCCGACGCCCTCCAGAGCCCCCTTTCTGCTGCCGGCACCGCACACCCCGCCCCACCTTACCGCTCGGCTTCATGCACTTAAGAAACTATCCCACCCCACACCCATGGCCCTGCCACCGGTGCCGACACCGCACACCACCGGAGCCCACACCTTCCAAACCCCCCTTCTGCTGTTAGCACTACAACCCCCCTCACCTTCACACTCGGCTTCTTGCTCTTGAGATATTGTCCCACGCCCATCGCTGTGCCACCAGTGCCAATACCGCACACCACCGCATCAACTCGCCCCTCCGTGTCCTCCCATATCTCCCTCCCTGTCGTCTCAAAGTGAATCTGAGACGGATGGAATGAGAGGAGGGGTTCGAGTGGCAAGTGGCAGCGGCCCAAGGGCCGATGAGTTAGAGGAGAAGAAACAGGCAAGTCCAAAGGGCCCCTCCGTGTCCTCCCATATCTCCCTCCCTGTTGTCTCAAAGTGAATCTGAGATAGATAGAATGAGAGGAGGGGTTTACTTTTGAGGCGCCTCAAAAGTAGAAATGATAGGAGGGGTTGAATGGGTGGCAAACATGTGAAAGAGCTGCACTTTTGAGTCGACTCAAAAGTCACCTCGTTAGGGGCTAAATGGGTGGCAATCAAGTGAAAGAGCTGCTGCAAGCACACGGGAAAAACAAGGTTATCGGTTGTAGAGATAACAAGGACAAGAAGATGTTAAGCCGTTTTGTAATTCTATGGGTGGTAGTATTGCACTAACGAAACATTCATCTGTTTTTTTGTTTGTTTGCTATTGTTGTTGTTGTCTGTTTTTTTTTTTTTTTTTTTTTTTTTTTTTTTTTTTTTTTTTTTTTTTTTTTTTTTTTTTTTTCCCACCTCGTTATTTGCCGCCCACCTTGGTGTTGGCCTCGTTCTCAAACTGCTGAGGCATGAAGGCGTGCTTGGAGTGGCTGACGATCTCCTTGGCCTTGATGATGGCTCCCCTCATGCCCTGCCGTCAAATCATGCACGTCAAAGCAACAGCACGACTTATGAATCGACTCAGAGGTCGAAAGCATGAAGGCGTGCTTGGAGGTCGAAAGCATGAAGGCGTGCTTGGAGTGGCTCACTCACATCACAACCTCCTTGGCCCAAAGGATCGCTCCCCTCATGCCCTGCCGTCAAGAAGGGTGTGGTTTGGTTGCCACAACGATTCGAGTTGATGCGAAAGGCTCGAATGACAACTCTTTTCATGCCCTGGCGTTGCGCACGGACTAGTCATGTCATGAGGGCCCTCAGGGCACGAAAGGAGCTCAAAAGCTCCCACAACAGCAAAAGTGACATGAGGGGGCGTGGAAATCAAACGGGTCAAACATTGGGATAGAGGCAACGAGAGAATCAGAAGGACGTTTGGGTCAACTCAAAAGGATGGCTCAAATGATCAAGGCTCCCCAAGACACCGTGTCAATTTCCCAAGACACCGTGTCGATTTCCCAAGACACCGTGTCGATTTCCCAAGACACCGTGTCGATTTCCCAAGACACCGTGTCGATTTCCCAAGACACCGTGTCGATTTCCCAAGACACCGTGTCGATTTCCCAAGACGCCGTGTCGATTTCCCAAGACGCCGTGTCGATTTCCCAAGACGCCGTGTCGATTTCCCAAGACGCCGTGTCGATTTCCCAAGACACCGTGTCGATTTCCCTAGACACCGTGTCGATTTCCCAAGACACCGTGTCGATTTCCCAAGACACCGTGTCGATTTCCCAAGACACCGTGTCGATTTCCCAAGACACCGTGTCGATTTCCCAAGACACCGTGTCGATTTCCCAAGACACCGTATAATTTCCCAAGACACCGTGTCGATTTCCCAAGACACCGTGTCGATTTCCCAAGACACCGTGTCGATTTCCCAAGACACCGTGTCGATTTCCCAAGACGCCGTGTCGATTTCCCAAGACGCCGTGTCGATTTCCCAAGACGCCGTGTCGATTTCCCAAGACGCCGTGTCGATTTCCCAAGACACCGTATCGATTTCCCAAGATGCCGTGTCGATTTCCCAAGACGCCGTGTCGATTTCCCAAGACGCCGTGTCGATTTCCCGAGACGCCGTGTCGATTTCCCAAGACGCCGTGTCGATTCCCCAAGACATCGGCCTACTCAACATGGTGTTCCCCAAATGAGTGAGTTTTTGAGGCGTCTCAAAGACTCAATTCGAACATTAAAGGCTCCTCCCAAAATTGACCTACTTAACTCAACATGGTGTGGTTGAAATCCGTAATGACAAAGAGGATTCCAGTGTCAGTAAGTCGGGGTGCATGGAATAATTAATCGGTGCAAATGAAGTACGGTCAAGGCAAGTTAGTCCCACCTGGTCAATGCCAGTACGGACAAGCCAACCTGATCAATGCCAGTACGGACAAGCCAACCTGGTCAGGGACCGTCCGTGAGGACCAGGTCTGCACCACCTTGGGGTTGAAAACGACTCAGTCTCACAATCACTCACCTGGTCATGCGATTTTTGGTAAGGACAATCTCACAGGTCAGGGTCGGGTCCGAAGCTCATCATCTGGTCAGGGTCGATAAGCACAAGCCCACCCGGTCAGGGTCGGTAAGGACAACCTCGGCCCCGAAGGCCTTGAGCAGCTTGTAGACCTGCTAAAGTCAAGGCGAGTCAAGACAGTCTCACTCACCTCATCAGGGTCGGTAAGGACAACCTCGGCCCCGAAGGCCTTGAGCAGCACGCGGCGCTCGAGGCTCATGGAGGCGGGCATGGTGAGGACGAGCTTGTAGCCCCTCGCCGCTGCTATGAACGCCAAGCCGATGCCCGTGTTGCCCGACGTCGGCTCCACCAGCACGCTCTGGGGAGGAAAGGGAGAGGGCCAGAGGGACACAAGAGAACAAGGGACTGCCATGAGGTCAAGCCGATGCCCGTGTTGCCCGACGTCGGCTCCACCAGCACACTCTGAGGGGGATTATGGGGGCAGGGAGGAGACAGGACAACATAGAAAAACAACACCTCTGATGACCGTGTTGCCCGACGTCGGCTCCACCAGCACGCTCTGAGTGGATGGGGAGGGAAATCAGGACAAGGAGATCTGTAACTAGGAAAATGGCACCTCTGATTCCCGTGTTGCCCGATGTCGGCTCCACCAGCACGCACTGACAGACAGGGTATATGGGAGCGGAGAAAGGGAACACAGAGAGACACCTCTGATGCCCATGCTGCCCGATGTAGGCTCCAACAGCACGGTCTGGTCAATGATTTGGAGAGGAGCTAGGGGGGTTCATGACAATAACAGAATAGAATGCGATGGCCGTGTTGCCCGATGTCGGCTCCAACAGCACGCTCTGGGGGGACACAGAGAGGAGAAATGGGGAACACAGGAACAAGGGGGGAAGTAACAGGTGAGATAAGGTACCTTTCTTACATGCACACACACACGGGCGAGCTTAAACAGGAAGTGGCTGCCAGGCATTCTCTCATTTCACCGTGTCTATGACCCGTACGAGAAGGTTTCTCACTCGCTGATGGTGGTGATTCCGGTTGTAGGAGCGGACAATCAGCTGTTTGACATCGTCCCCACGGTATAGTGGTCCCCTGATGTCACCTTGGCACTCATAATCAACCTCTCATGCCACAAGTGCGAAATTTGCACCAGCAACCATCGGACCCGGGATTATGTTTGCGACAACCCGTGCTTCCCAACCAACCAGTGCAAGATCATCGTCGCTCAGATGCAGCACATCAATGGCATTAATGTGTTTTTACAAGCAACTCCCTCTCTCTCAAACTGCCCCTACTCTGTTCAACCTCCCTGCTCTTTCACGTTGAGTTTGTCACAGGCATGATCCCGGGTCCGTTAGTTGTTGGTGCAAATTTCGCACTTGTGGCATGAGAGGTTGATTATGGGCGGCGAGGTGACACCAGACAGCCACAGCACTCAAACAGCTGATCATATGCGAGTGGGAAACCTCCTCGTAGGGATCATAGACACGGTGAAACGAGAGAATGTCTGACAGCCACTTCCTGTCGGAAGCACGCTTCATATGTGACCCCCCTCAAAAAGTCACCTCCTCCGCGTCTTCAATCATGCTGTACCCCACGCGGTCCTTAATGCTCCCACACGGCTGCACCTTGCACGCTATGCTCCCACACGGCTGCACCTTGCACGCTATGCTCCCCACACGGCTGCACCTTGCACGCTATGCTCCCACACGGCTGCACCTTGCACGCTATGCTCCCCACACGGCTGCACCTTGCACGCTATGCTCCCACACGGCTGCACCTTGCACGCTATGCTCCCACACGGCTGCACCTTGCACGCTATGCTCCCCACACGGCTGCACCTTGCACGCTATGCTCCCACACGGCTGCACCTTGCACGCTATGCTCCCCACACGGCTGCACCTTGCACGCTATGCTCCCACACGGCTGCACCTTGCACGCTATGCTCCCACACGGCTGCACCTTGCACGCTATGCTCCCACACGGCTGCACCTTGCACGCTATGCTCCCACACGGCTGCACCTTGCACGCTATGCTCCCACACGGCTGCACCTTGCACGCTATGCTCCCACACGGCTGCACCTTGCACGCTATGCTCCCACACGGCTGCACCTTGCACGCTATGCTCCCACACGGCTGCACCTTGCACGCTATGCTCCCACACGGCTGCACCTTGCACGCTATGCTCCCACACGGCTGCACCTTGCACGCTATGCTCCCACACGGCTGCACCTTGCACGCTATGCTCCCACACGGCTGCACCTTGCACGCTATGCTCCCACACGGCTGCACCTTGCACGCTATGCTCCCACACGGCTGCACCTTGCACGCTATGCTCCCACACGGCTGCACCTTGCACGCTATGCTCCCCACACAGCGGCACAGTCTTACATGTACATGCACACAAGTCCCTCACACCCACAACAGCACACACACCTTGCCTGGCTTGATGTGATGAGCCCTTTCTCCTCCGCATCTGCGATCATGCTGTACCCCACGCGGTCCTTGATGCTCCCACACGGCTCTATGCTCTTACACACACGCACAAACACGTATCAGACGCCCTCAGATCCCTCCCTTCGCTGTCCACTCCCAAGCAATCACCTTGCCTGGCTTAATCAGCCCTTTCTCCTCCGCATCTGCAATCATGCTGTACCCCACGCGGTCCTTGATGCTTCCACACGGCTCCATGCCCTCAAGCTTGCACACGATGCTCCCCACACACCCCTCCGCCAGTTGGTTCAAATAAACCATGGGCGTGCGACCGATGAGCTGGGCTTGTGACGGGGTGGCAGGGCAGGGGAGAGAGGAAGTCATGAGCCTCAGATTGCACGCGCTGCTCCCCACACACCCCTCCGCCAGTTGGTTCAAGTAAACCATGGGCGTGCGACCGATGGACTGGGGTTGTGAGGTGGTGGCACGGCAGGGTACGGGAGAGTAGAAGCGATGAGCCTCAGCTTGTCAGCCGTCCTTGTCTCCTTGATGCTTCCACACCACATGGCTCTGCACGCGATGCTCCCCACACACCCCTCCGACACTTTGTTAAAGTAGACCACGGGCGTGCGACCGATGTGCTGGGGGTGTAAGGGGGTGGAGGGGTGAAGTGTGGAGCAGTCAAGATGTCAGTCAGACACACTATGCCCCCCGCGCACCCCTCCGAGTCCTTATTAAGTTAAGAGACACCATGGGCGTGCGAGCGATCAGCTGGGGGTGCGAGGGAGTGGCAGGGCAGGGGAGAGAGGAAGCCATGAGCGTCAGCTGTGGCAGGGCAGGGGAGAGAGGAAGCCATGAGCGTCAGCTGTGGCAGGGCAGGGGAGAGAGGAAGCCATGAGCGTCAGCTGTGGCAGGGCAGGGGAGAGAGGAAGCCATGAGCGTCAGCTGTGGCAGGGCAGGGGAGAGAGGAAGCCATGAGCGTCAGCTGTGGCAGGGCAGGGGAGAGAGGAAGCCATGAGCGTCAGCTGTGGCAGGGCAGGGGAGAGAGGAAGCCATGAGCGTCAGCTGTGGCAGGGCAGGGGAGAGAGGAAGCCATGAGCGTCAGCTGTGGCAGGGCAGGGGAGAGAGGAAGCCATGAGCGTCAGCTGTGGCAGGGCAGGGGAGAGAGGAAGCCATGAGCGTCAGCTGTGGCAGGGCAGGGGAGAGAGGAAGCCATGAGCGTCAGCTGTGGCAGGGCAGGGGAGAGAGGAAGCCATGAGCGTCAGCTGTGGCAGGGCAGGGGAGAGAGGAAGCCATGAGCGTCAGCTGTGGCAGGGCAGGGGAGAGAGGAAGCCATGAGCGTCAGCTTGCACGCCACGCTCCCCACACATCCCTCTGCCACCTTGCTCATACACCACGGGCATGCGACCGATGAGCTGGGGAGCGTGCCGGGTGCTGCAGGATGTGGCACGGAAAGGAGAGCAGAGGAGGGATGGAGGGATGAGCCTCAGCTTGCGCAATGCTCCCCACCGACGTTTATATCACCGAGTTCAAATTCCTTTTGAGACATCTCAAACCGCAATGATATGATGAGCCTCCTTAGCCCCAGGCTACGCGCAATGCTCCCCACCGACACTCATATCACCTAGTTCAGGTGAACTTTGGTCAAGGGAATGGCGGTATATACTGATCAGCTGGGAGGTCAGCAATCATGGATTGGCAGGAGTAAAAAGAGCGGTATACCTGACAATGGAAGAGCAACGGAGTACCTGAGTGACGTCATCAGCTATGTTGGTCTCTGGTCGCTTTGGCCCTTTATGGCGATGGTGCTGGTGCGGGTGATGCGGGTTCAGAACCGACAGGGCACTCTTCAGTCCCCATATAAATTGCATAGTTCCCGACCTCCTTCCTCCTGTCAAACCCGCCCCTTTCTTTCGGCTGTGCTTGTTATTCCCCTTATTGAAGGACTCTACAGAGGATATATGCGAGTTGTTTCTTCCCGAATACAAAGTCAGCCGAGGAGGTCTACCAATAAATACACATAAACTGCCGATTTCGCAAGCGTATGGAGAATTGACCTTAGAAGATAACCGTCTGTCAGCCACAGCGTACGACCTTGGGTTTTGATTAGCTGCCACCGTATGTTTTCCGCTACGCTCAGGTACGTGACTGCGCTGGCTCTGGATTCGTTTTTTTCAGTCGACTTAGGGTTAGTGACTGTGTCGACAATGAGCCAAGTGCTGAGGGCTAGCAGTGGCGATTCGAAAGGTCTTGTGAACCAGATGAATTAAACGCTGGCGACTATTTGCTGATGCAGATTTGCTGATGCAGCGGTGACAGCGAAAATTATACGCCGATTGATGTGTAAATTTGCTAGTGCAGAAACAGTGTAAACGCAACAGCGAGTCTGCTACTAGTGGCGGGAATGTCGTTCTTGGAGATTTTTTACATTCCAGTGCCACGAGACGATTCCCTGACAGAGCAAAGCGCGTTGCTTTCACGGCAAGAACAGGATGCGACGTTCTGCGCTGTCGGCCAGAGCCACAGCAGTTCTGCATCTGATTCGCCATGGTTTAGGCCCGGTTCTGTTGCCCAGCGGCAAAAGGAGGGCGGACAGTTCAGCACAGCACCACGGGTGCGCCCGGGTGCTTCCGCGAAGCCATGGTGCGAAACAGCTTCCTGCCACCCTCTGCGCAACTAGAGGAGCTTCTTAAAAGTTTTGCTTGGCTGACCGTTTAAATATTTTCCGCGACAATAATTGGCTGGTTCGAAGCAATACAGCCAACCAGTACCCAAAATATTTCTCTTCACCAATGAGTCATTGCCCTCCCTCGTAAAGTTATTTTTTCGGGGCATTTGTCCCTGCCCGGAACTACTTGTGATGTCCCTGGGTCCGCGATCCGAGCGGGAACCAGCCTCGCACCAGTCTCGCACCCAGTCTGCCTGGGAGGAGGGGACAGCACAGCACTACTAGTTCCTCGTTCTTTAGCGCTATGTGGGCCGCACAGCACAGCACAGCACAGCACTGGCCAGACTCGGGATGGAGCTCAAGGTCCCGAGCCTGATTCAAGGAATGCGCCCTTGAAAAGAAGTGTTCGAGGACCACCGGTAGAGGCCCTCACGAAGCATCATCTGGTGCTGTGCGGAGGGGTCCGCACCAGTAGTGCGGCAACAGAACTGGGCCTTAGAGACTGTAATGAATACGAATTCATTACTGTAGAGGCTGCTCCTAGCGAGGACGACCCCGAGCACTTCGCGTCAGTTTCGAGGTTCGGCCTACACTTCGGGCCGAACCACCCCCGAGTCGCCCCGCACCAATCGCGACACTTCCAAACCCATCCACGTCCCGAGGTCCTCGCCTACCACGGTTTCGACCCTATAAATGGATGCCTCTTTATCATTCTTGACATTCTGGATTCGACATCCTTTTTATAAAGTCTTCCGCGCACTCTTAGTACATCTCATAACACCTGGTATCAGAGCCTAAGTTCCTAGGTTCCCCGTTGTTTAGAGTGTATTACCCCTCGGGGGGGGGACAAGGAAGGATGCCGTGGTGACATGAGCAACGCAGTAGCCGGCCAGGAGAACGGATAGTTGCTCCTATCGGCCATGTTTTTACGGGCGCTCCTGCTGCACCGACGGATCCTTGCCCTCGACGGTCGAGATGGACCGTGGCCTCCCTCCCCCCGGGTGGCGGACAGCTTTTGCTGTCAACGCAGTTAATGCGTGAATTAACAATATTCGTTTCGGCATTTTTGGAGTTAATTTGTGTGGCAGCTGACGTCGACAGGATCTCCGTCAGTGCACGTCCGAAGATGTCGGAAGCAAGATCGTCGTGCGAGTTGCGTCGGCATGTGGTCGACAACTGCGCGCAACAATTTCGGAACGGATTGCATGCAGCACGTGGCGTCGAGCATCTTCGTCACATCGCGCATCAGTCCGTTGGAGGTCTTCGGCAAGTGACGATCGTGGTCACTGTGCGCGAAGATTTCGGGTAGCAGCACGTGGAAAACGACTGCTGTGCGAGCAGCCATGCGCATGGTGATTTGCGTCAGAAAATGCAGCGGCGCGGAGTGACGGCGTGACAACTACCCGAAGAAAGCGGGGGTCTACCGTCGTTCCAGCCCGGGTGTGGCCGGTGTGGCTACAGGAGGGTGCGTCGTTGGCGTTTTCGGCAGGAGCGGCACAGTGTGGGACGGAAGTTATTTTCAAACCGCCGAAAAGTTCGGAAAAGGCCGCCTACGACTAGACTGTTTTCGTTAGGGTCACTTCTGCGCCTGCAACAAAGTCGGCCGAAATCTTCGGAGCAACAGCAGCAGCCGACACTGTACTTCAGGCGGCACAGATTCCCCCTGATCAAGGGAAGTTGTGTCGCAGACGGGGCAGTACACCGACGAGGACAACGGTTTGCCGCAGCGACTAGACCCACGAATTTCGCCAGGTCTACCGGCTACAATAAACGGAGTTGCGAGAAATTCGGGTCTGGCGAGAGAAACGGATTCCGAGCTTCAAGAGGGGAGAAAAGGAGGTACTGCGACGACTTTTTGCTGAGGCCGAGATTTGCGGCTAAGCGGCGGTAGCAGAAGGAGCTCCCTACCGGCCAAAGTCTACCGACGTTTCACATACCTCACGCCCAGAAGGCCTCGAAGGCAAGGTGTAGTCCTATAGGCCACTGGATCCAAAGGTGGGGCCATGTGTTTAGCCCTGTGCTGGTTAGAAAGGCGCGGGTGACGCTGGTTCGACGGCAGGGCGTACAAGAAAAATTTTGGGAGCGACACTGTTTCGGCCCCGACAAAACCGGACCATCGGCAGCAGTTACCCCGCCGAAAAAGTCGGAGCTGAAGCAGTTGGTGCAGCTGTCGGAGTTTGCTCCTAATTCAACGGTCTACCCGACATGGTGTAGCGGCGAAGAAGGGGCTTTCCGAAGCCGTGGAGTTTTAAATGCGATAGACGCGGTGGGCAACGAAGCGGCCGGTCCGACTGTTTGATCCGATAAACATGACCCGGCTACGATAGCATTCGCGCCTTCACCGAATGTCAGAAAAATCGCGGGCAACACGGAGTTAAACCTCATCCGACAAAAGCGGACACTGGGTGAATGGCGGCAAGCGAAATTGTCGGGGGGTGGGAAAAAAAATGGAGGGAAATTTGTGGGCGCTCCAGCAAATCTCCAGAGTGAAAGGTTGAGCCCGTACACCAATCCACCGCGAATTTCGGAGTCTATTCGGTAGACCCCCGAAAGGGTTTGATATTGTTACATGGAGGCGCGGCGAGCGGTGTATCGCCAAGGATACCTGGGATTCGCTAAGTAATTTCGACGGGTACGAAGACGGGTGAACGTCAGAGTACCAGGGTCAACGGCGGAAACGTCGGGGTTATGCGGCGGAAAATACTTCGAGACTGCTTTATTCCATGACTTTCGGGGTTTTATTCCAACGGTGGGAGACGGGTGAATGTCTGCTCGCCAG